AATCAGTTGACAAAAACTTAAGTTCTTCTCTTCTCGAGAGAAAAGCGCTCAGACCTTTGCTCTTTCCCGAAAGCAGCTGACAACAAAGAACCAAGTCGGTAAACAGAGCAGTAAAAATAGAGGTTCCCTTTGCAAACATGAGGAAAGGTATTATCATAACAGTCCTGACAGCAGTCTTTAAATTGCCAAGAAAGCAGAACTGGCTGTGCTGGTCTGCCTTCTCCAGGTAAAAAGGTCTCCTCAGCCACACCTTAACCTTTGGAGAGGCACGAAAAACTTCCATGAAAGCGCCGCAAGCAGGAGCGTTGCCAGAGTACGTCACGACTCTTTCAGCAGCCCAAGTTTCTTCAATGCCTGCTTGCGAGATTCCTCGGTTGCCCCCCGGCCAGAAAACTGCACGGTGATGCCTTGGGGACGAAACATGGGGGCAGCGGCTCTTTGTTTGGCATCCGGCACAGCCGCTTTGCCGGCATTGGGATGTGAGGTCTGAGGGTTTCTTGGTGCCGGCGTCGGGGGAGGCCCTTTCAAAGCCCTTCCTGGACTGTCAGGGGGGCGCTGTACCCCGACGGATGGGTTGATGGTCCGGCTCTTGCCCCCGTAACTGTTGAGCTTGGCGGGCAGGGCCTGGGGTTTGACCGGCACGTTTTGATTTACGTCAATGTGGGAGCTGAGGATGTCGGGAAGGTCGCTCCTGGTCATGGCTCCGGTTGCGGGGTTCAGGACTTTGGACTTTCCTCCGTAGCTGTTGAACTCACTGGGGTTCGCCAGCATGGAAAGAAGGACTTTGCCATCAGAGCCCGTCGGGGGCGACACAGGTTCGTTCTTTGAGGGACCTGGAGCGACCACAATGGATTTCCCCCCAAAACTGTTCAATTCCAGCGATAGGATGTCTGACTGAGGCGCAGCCGCTGAGGTTTTCTCCAAATGCGGTGGGCTCACTGGAGGCTTTCTGTTGTCAAAGCTCCTGGGGGAATCGAAAGGCGGAGTCTCCACCTTTTGGACAGGGGTGTGGCTTTGTGGCGATGTTGGGACCTTGGAGTCCGGCGCGTGGATGCTGGTCACTGTTTGGTGAACGCTGGTCTCCAAAGCACCAGTGAGACTGGTCTCTCTACTTGGCGCCAAGTTGTCAACAGTGTCGTGGCCTAACATCTCTCCTGACAGGTCGCAGTTTCTGGCCAGGCCCAGCTTAGACAGTGCTTCCATCCTGGTTTTCTCAGGTGTGGGGTCCTTGAAGGAAGCGCTGCGGGAAGGGGCCTTTCGCAACTTCTGCACCAAAATTGGCTTGGAATCCTCCTGAAGGAGACCCTGCGGCGCTCCCGTTAGATTCGACAGCATCAGCGCCCGCCTGTCATGGAGGTTCACGTTGGATCCCGGCTGATTCTGCAGCTCTCTGTTGCCAATAACCATACTGATGTTGGCCGGGTATCTGGTAGGCTTAGCCAAGGTTGGGGGACCCTGCTTCGCGGGGGGAACCCCGTCGAGGCCGAGTGATTTCACATCCTCCTGGCTGTGCCGGCGCTGGAGTGAAGCCAAAGTGTTGGGTGTGCCCACTGCCTGGTTCTCAGCTATCTTCTTGGCAATGAGCACCGGGGTGGGGACCGAGCCAGCCGGGTGGTAGGAGTGACTGTCTGTCAACTCGTAGCCGGCAGAGTGGTGCAGGGGATCATGTCTCGGTTTGATCTCAAAGTGGCTCTCGGGGCTCATTGTCATTTTCTGGAAATCTGAGCAGAGCAAAATTCAACATGCTAAGACTCAATTTGAATTAATTTGACTCAGCATAGGAAATATGTGCAGTACCTGGACTGGTAGGCTTGAAGACCGGTAATTTGGCAAGCATCATGTCCGGGTCTGGGCGTACGAGGTCTATAATATCCTGGTCTTTAGCGCTGAGGCGCCTGGCATTTATAGGGTGCACGCGATAGAGATCTGGGGTTTCGGGCGGTCCGTCCATCTCGTGGCCAAGAAGGTGGCTTGCGCTTGCTGGAGACTTGACCAATCCGGCCCTGAGCCCGTCCTCCTCAAGGCTGTTCTCCAGAGATCCGATGGTCTCTTCAAAAAACTGGAGGCACTCCTTCTCCTCTGGGCTCAGGAAGCGCAGCGTGTCTTCATCCTGCGTAGGTCAATGAAAACGACCGTCGTCAGTCACTTCGTCGGCTGGAAACGGCAGGAGGCGAAGACGCAAGCACCGCGCCCGGCCGGCGTCTGTGATCGTGTAACTGAGATGTGGCTCGGCACCCAAAAAGGAGTGAGGTGGAACTGGTTGGGGCGGCCTCTTGTGCTGTTAATGGATGTGGTCCCTGAGGCGTATGAAGGTTGTCAAGCAGGTGTGATTACCGCAACCGAGTGGTGACTGCGTGTTTTGTGTAAACAGCCTGAATCACCCGCAGATCATCTGACGCGGTTATTGTTTGGACAATAGGAGGACAGAACAAGGCTCCTCAGTCACACCGTCAGTCATTTCCCCCCCCCAACAGAGACTGACTTGAGTGACACCCTGAGCATGCGCTTTCCCTGACCATTCTCGCTTTGCAATTAAGAAATTCTCCTCGGTCATTCCTCTGTGTCAAAACATGTCATGCCGGACTCTGAGTTCATGTGACAGTGAACAGATGTTCGGGAAACTTGTCAGTCATACTGACCCGCTGCCTGGTGCTCCGGTCCAACGCGCCGTTGACTCGGGAGTGCCGCGGATTGTTGGCCATGTCCAGGATGAGGGCCGAAGGGCTCAGCCGGGCTTTGGACATCTCCGGGGGCGGCACTAGGACGGAAGCGGAATCATGTCTGCTCCTTGCTCCGAGGAGTCAGCGGATCATCGCTTCCCCTCTGTCTGGAGAGGAGAAATCAAGGTCAAAAGTAAGACCGAAAGCTTTTTGGTTTCGGCATCATTTCCCTCACGAGATGGGGCACAGAATCTCTCTCTGTGTGTCCTGGTAGATGAAGAATATCTTTCAAAAGATTATCAAACTTGATAAAGCAGCAAGCGATACCTCCATTTACGAGTGCTGCCACTTAGTCTTTCTTATTTTCTTGTACATTCTCTATGACTACATGGAGCTGCGGGAGGGGGCAGGGATCAGTCACCACGATGAAGAAAAGTTGCAAGAAAAGTTGCATTTGAGCGATGACATCTGAGTAAATTTAGTTACGAGCTTGGTCGCGGATCCAATGAAACTCCTAGGTCAAGGTGGCGCTGGTATGACTCGTGAAGCAACAACGTGGCGGCGCCCGGCAGCCGGGCCGACCTGTTAATCCGGAACAAACGCAGCTGCACAACCGGCTCCTCTGCCCGAAACTACACAACTGCGCATTCCTCTGGAAAATAACACTTGGACTTTTATGGCTCGCTCGGTGCGTCATCAAATGCTGCTGCTTCTCCATCATCATCATCATCATCATCATCATCATCAGGGTACGGCCCCAGTTCAACATTTCTGTTTGTGAACAGCACATGCATTGGAGTCGATCCATCAGTGGCATGCGTATCCGTCAGCGACGCTTTATCTTGTTCGTGTAAATAAGTTGATGGTTTCGGTTAGCGTTGACATCAACACACACAACCAAAACGGACATTTACTAACATTTCCTCATGCAAATCGATGCTGGGTAGTGGAGTTAGTGAATAGTACTAAATGTTTTCAAATGGGAAAGAGCTTTATGTTTTGTTAAATACTTGACAAAATAGGTCATGTCTAATTGAGGCTATGTTTAATTTTACTACTCGTTTGGGTAAACAAGCTCATACATCAAGAATACTACAAAGAAGTTGCTCACTTGTCCAAAAATTGATGAAGGTTATCTCAGAGAACTAAAAAAAAAAAAAAAGTTTTGAGTTTAGTAAGAAACCCATTTTGCACATACATTTTAGGATTCAATCCAGTCAAAAGCAAGGAATTAAGTGGGGTTTTTTTTCTCCCATTGTTTCAGTTAGCCAAATGTGTATAAATGTAAGTTGATGTAAACATAATTTTATTGAGCTGATTTTTTTTCAAGAACTTAAATTGCAAATGACAAAATCAGGCAGATTAAAAATAATTTGCATCAACATGGGATGGGGTGGGTGGCAAGGTGGAGACAAATCCGAGAGACCAGAAGCGAAAGACAATTTACCTTCAAATGTGTAGGATCCATCCTCGTGGAAGTATCTTGACGGACAGAAATAGATTTTTTTTTTCTGCTGAAAGAAGTCCCACTTGTGTTGCCGCCTGCTGACTCCACCTTGACTGGATGACGCGCCAATTTAACATGGTCCAACAACACAACAAGCCCCGCCCGTTGTTGCAGAGCGCATGCGTGTGGCAGACGCACGCGTGCGTGGAGGAAGGCGAGCCAACTTGTGGTTTTGGGGAAATGTTCCTTGTTTGTTCTCAGGTGTGTAATACGTTCCATGGCTTGCTTTCTTCTGCCTTCAAGCATCCCCTAAATTCTTTGAGGTCGTTGGTCCTTTAGCCTATGGCGCCACCCTGTGGAGAAAATGAAGACCGACTGAGGCTGCACACTCGTTTTTTTCAGCCAATCGCAGGGCACACAAAGACAAACCAACATTCGCACTCACAATCACACTTACGGACAATTTAGAGTGAGCTATTAACCTAACGTGCATGTTTTTGCAATGTGGGATGAAACCGGAATACCCGTGAAAACCCACGCAGGCACGGGGAAAACAAACCTCACACACATCTCGTGGCTATACGTAAAATTGCTACATTTTATGAAAAGTATAGTTTTTAATCAATGTAAATATGGAATGACTGTATGTGGTATTGTTACTTGATCATGTCAGCCATGATTATTTTATTTGTCGAAATCAGTCGCCCCATTGCGTCTGAAAACAATAAACCCGTCTTCAAGACGTTTTGCTGCTTTCCGAGCAGCCGTTGAACGCACCACCCCGGAGTTATTTACGCCGGGTTTAGGGGCTGCGTCGACGAGCGTTTCCCTTGGAATTCCCGAGTCGAGGCGGCCCGACGCCCGGCTTCTGTCCACGCACTGGTCCGGTGAGTCGACCGACACTTCCACCGCGACAGAAAAGAGAGATGACAAGAATACACTCGCTTTGCCAGTTAGCCGATGAGCTCAATGGGTTGCATGTTTCCGTTACCGGACATGCACTTTGACAGCTCAAGTGTTTGCACGACGTTTTCACAGGAGATGGGTTGTTTTTTTTCCCATAAAAAATCCACACTGTCAGTATACAAACATCTTCAAACAGCCCCTCGCACAAAGACGAATACGTCATTACTTTGTTGGCGTTTGCGACATTCGCCAGTTGACGTTAGCCGTCCTAGTGGGGAGTTAGCATGTTCGCTCGGAGCTAACTCTTAGCCGCAGGCTAAGCAGGTTTTAATTATAATAATGCCGTTTATTTATCGGCGCCTTTGGTATAGCTCGAGGACACCGCAAGATAAAAAAAAAGAAAAGAAAATGATACAAAATCAGTAATGTAGCGAATTAGCTTAAGACTTGTTTATCCGGTGCGTTCAGGTGACTCGGTCAGCCTGTCAGTTGACGTGCAACTCACGGGGTAGCAAAAGATTTGGATAAAAATAGTGAAACACTTGCAGACCGAATTTTTTTTTGACGGTACCGTCTTTCAAGGAGAGTAAAACGGTCTCACAGGCGTGTTGATGAACTGGCAAGAGTGTGTGTACGTTTTGCCAGCTGATGAGTTGCTAATGCACGCAATGGGACTCAAGTGGGATGCAAGGCACACATTTGCAGCAAAAAACAAATGTCTGTCTCGAAAGCCTCGCTCCACGTCGTGCGACCTAGTCACTGGATCCCTACCCAGCATCCTTTGCAGTGTCAGGTTACCCCGAGTTCTCAAGGACTCGTCTCCATGGTGATGGACCGGAGACAGAATCCATCAACATGCCTATGGCAAGCCGTTGAGTTTTTTTTTTTTTTTTTTTTTTTTTTGTGGCTTGAGCTCCATGTACTAGTATGCGCTTTGTCCTCATTCGTAGCATGGGTTGTAACTTGCCGTTGACCTTTTTCCTCTTCTGTGCCAACGATCAGTGTGAAGGATGAACCAGAGCAGCATCCGCCATGGCCTGCAGCAGCGCTCCCAGTAACGCCGAAACGCTGGAAGGCTTCCATGAGGTCAACCTAGCCTCGCCCACCACGCCCGACCTGCTGCAGGTATCGACGGCCGCCTCGCCTTGCCGCCCAGCGTCTTCAGCGCCACGTCGGCCGACGCTTTTGGCCTCCTCAAATTTACGTGTCGAATCGTACACGCGCAAAAGGCTGGAAAGACGAATGGCAGAAAAACAAAAACACAACACTGATGTACAATATGATGATTGAACGGCCGTACGTTGCATGCTGATCAAAATGAGAAAAATGTGGAAAAAGCGAAGGCGAGGTTTGACAAAATGAGAAAAATGTGGAAAAAGCGAAGCCGAGGTTTGACCCGCCGGCGCTGTCTTTGTGGCCGCAGAACCAAGCGGAGCAGCGCCCCGCCGCCTGCCGCGGCGAGCCGCCCACGTCCCTGTACCGCACGCACTCGCTGGGGGCGCCGCCCCCTGGACTGCGCTCGTCGCTGCGGGCCGACCTGCTCCCCACGCGGCCCGTCTACTCCACACCCACGCACGCCCGCAATGGCAGGTGAGCGCCTTGCGCCCGGTTTTTATGCCTGCGTCAAGACACGACGCAGAGACCGGAATGAAAAATTGTCCGTCTGGCGTGTCCAGCGTGCAGGGCGCCGAGGCGGACGTGGCCGAGGCCGACTTCCTGTCGGCCGATGACGGTGGCGACTGCGGCGCCCTGAACGACAGTTTTTCACGGCTACGCAGCCCGTCGGTCATGGAGGTGCGAGAGAAAGGATACGAGCGGCTCAAGGACGAGCTGACCAAAGCGCAGAGGGTGAGCCCACGCGCACTCGCATTTGGGCAATCGCTGGTGCGTGTGTGCATGTGCGCAGGCGTGTGTGTTTTTGTGATTTTACCCGAGCCATTTTTCCATGATTGATCAGATTTTTTTTTGTTGTCATCGAACATGCACATTACGATATTTTTTACTTATGTATTTGTTTATTTTGGGGAGCTCGCTCACCATTTTCTTCATGCCTTTTGTTGTGATGTTTCATGCCGCCAAGCCATTTGACTGAGTTGATTTGGTTTTGATGTCATGCAGAATGCAACTCAAGTTTTTTTGGTTTGTTTCTCCTTCATGTCTTTGTTGTCATGTTTGATTTGATCACGATTGGCTGCGTGTTGTCTTGTGTGTTTGTGTGTGCGCGCGCGCTCGTGTGCGTCCGTAAGGAATTGCTGTTGAAGGATGAGGAGTGTGAGAGGTTGTCAAAAGTGCGAGATCAGCTGGGCCAGGAGCTGGAGGAGCTGACTGCCAGCCTCTTCCAGGTCGGTGCGCCTCCTCCCTGCCCGTTCGTCCGTCCGTCCGTCTTGGCATCTCCACTTCTTTCCTTTTGACGGGAAGTTGTCACACTATCGCTAGTTGTCTTTGCCAATTTTGGTCCAAATGAAAATCTGCGTCTTGGCGTCTCCACTTCTTTCCTTTTGATGGGAAGTTGTCACACTATTGCTCGTTGTCTTTGCCAATTTTGGTCCAAATGAAAATCTGAACTCACTTCAACAAAGTGCCTTGACACCACAAAGCTACAAAATGGCAGCGCGAAACGCCGTAACTCAGCTCAACATAGCGCCTTAACACCAAGATGCCCGTTGAAATCACCACGACGACCCGGTCTCAAATGGCTTCCTGGCAGCAGGTGCAATCAGCTGTTTATTCCGTGCCTTCTGCCACCTCATGGAAGCGAATCGAATCGTTGCTTGAACGTGTGGTCGTGACGCGTGGTGACCGGGCGTCGCGCTTGTGACCTTTCAGGAGGCCCACAGAATGGTGCGGGAGGCCAACGTCAAGCAGGCCAACGCCGAGAAGCAGCTGAAAGAAGCCCTGGGCAAGGTGAGCGCACTCCATAGCCGCAAGTCTTCACCCGCCTGACGTTGTTGGCCTCTTCCCGGTCAGATTGACGTCCTGCAGGCGGAGGTGCAGGCCCTGAAGACGCTGGTCCTGTCCTCGCCCACGTCACCCGTGGGCGAGCTCCCCGCCGTGGGCGGCGGCGGGAAGGCGGCCTTCCGGAAGGGCCACAGCAGGAACAAGAGCACCTCCTCGGCCATCTTGGGAACGCAGGCCGACGCGTCGGCCACGCAGCCCATCGTGCGAGAGTGTCGAGAGGTGCGACGGGCCGCGGCGCTCGCCTCGGCGGCTTTCCGCCGCCACGTCACGGCGTCTCGCTCTTCTTGCAGGCGGACGCGCAGCTGTTCAGCGAGTTCAAGGCGTGGAAGGAGGAGCCCACGCTGGACCGCCGCTGCTGCTTCCTGGAACGAGTTTACCGTGAGGACATCTACCCGTGCCTCACCTTCAGCAAGAGCGAGGTGACCTCAGCGACGCCGCACACCAAATCGGGCCCGCCACCTCATTTTTGGGTGGGCCCAACAAAGCAAATCACGTGTGTGGGCTTCCATGAACACACACACACACACACACACACTCAAATCCGTGGCCCAACATTTGAAATATTCATCAGCCATCCATCTGTTGGGCTCATGTTTTGATGGGGGAAGCTGTCACGACAAAGCGGCTGGCCACAAAAATGTGTTTGACGCCCCTCATTGACAGTCGCTCAAAATACTGTCATATGAAACTGTTGAGCGTGTGTTGACCTCCAGTTTGTGGTTTGCTTTCATAAAGCCAGCGTAAATGACATCAAATAATCACAAGAGAAAATGAATGTCTTGACAAATGATCATATGAGCAAGCTTCAGATGTGCCGCTGCTCAAGTTAAGTGGGGCAGGGGGGCGGGCTGTTAGTCCAGAGTGGCCAGGGCGAGATTCTCAACACGACTGTTTGGACTTTTTCTTTTTCCCTCCTCTTTTCCTCAGCTGGGTTCGTCCATCTTGGAATCGGTGGAGCAGAACACACTCAGCGTGGAGCCGGTGGGCTTCCAGCCACTGCCCGTCGTCAAAGCCTCGGCCGTCGAGTGTGGCGGACCAAAGTGAGACCACGCGCACATGAGTCTGGTGCCCTATTCGTCACACTGTTGCTCACTCGGCGGCGTGGGGGGGGACTGGTCAACTGCTCCTTTTGTTCACTCACCGTGTGTGTGTGTGTGTCACAGGAAGTGCGCCCTGAGTGGCCAGACCAAAACCTGCAAGCACAGAATTAAGTTTGGGGACTCATCCAACTATTACTTTGTGTCTCCATACTGCCGATACCGAGTGAGTATGATGGGAGGCGGGCAAAAAAAAAAAAAAATGTGACACTCTTCCAAAACGCAAAGTGATTGAAATTGTCGTTGCTTGTTTGTGTATCAGATCACGGCGGTGTGTAATTTCTTCACATACATTCGTTACATCCACCAGGGGCTCGTTAAGCAGCAGGACGGTAAGAAACAACACTGACCAGTCACGTAGGAATAGAAAGGGGGCCGGCCCATAAGTAATTCAAAGAAGAAGAGGCGTAGAAGAGCCACGGCATGAAACCAGAAGGCCAAACTGGCACAGACCTGAGACAAATCCAAACCAGAGTAGAGCAGTCAACGTTCGACTCCCCATTGGCTCTTGTCACGCACGTTTTGGCCATCTTTGATGGAGTAGATAACGCTCGCAGCTGATGACTGCAATTGGTGGGGTGGAGAGGGGGGATGCCAACACAAAACCTGATTGCTGGATAGACTGGTTTTAGCGTGAGAACTTGTGAGAGGAGGGAAGTTCAGCCCGGCTCTGTGTGTGTGCGTTTGTTTGTTCAGCGGAACAGATGTTCTGGGAGGTGATGCAGCTGCGGCGGGAGATGTCCCTGGCCAAGCTGGGCTACTTTAAAGACAACCTGTGACTGACTTGATTGTCTTCCGGACGGCCCCCGCCGGATCAACCCGCTGTTCAGCATTTGTTTGTCACCACACCAAACACTCTGCAGTGTCAAGTTGACAACTGTTTCAATTAACATTTCATTCCACCCTAGAATGAATGAATGAATAGATAAATAAATAAATAAATAAGAAGAAGAGTAATAGACCTTACAGTGACAGCATTTCAGATTTTTTTTTTTCTTTTTAATGTTTGAGGGTCTGACAGCAACACTTGTGTGCAGAGAAAGTGGAAAGAATTCCCAGAAAAATTCACGTGACTTTCTGCTCATGTTGCAGGGAAAGCGCTTCAATCTTGGAAATGGTTTCCAGATTGGAAACTCTCCTTTGGAATTGCGGCCAAAATAACGGAATACTCGAGCAGAAAGAGGAACAATGACAAAGAGTTCTCCTTGCCCACATGCAAGGACATGGCTAGTGACTCTGCTCGCTCGCTGTAGTGTGGATTCTGCAAAAATATATTTTTTTCACAACTACAATGTCTAACTTTCCAATGAAGAATTTCAAATTCGACATAATGTTTTAATATGGTATCGTAATCATACATGATGTATAAAATTATTCCAGTCAAACGCATTTATATAAGTTCATAAAAAATGTCAACTTTACACGCTTGGAAGTCCCTGGAATTTTGCAGCCCCAGTTATGCCCCAGAATGATGCCTCCCAATTTTGAAGCGCGTTTCAAACTTGATTTGAAAGACGGACTTCGGCCGGTGCAACGATCATCTTTTCATTTTGTGAAAAATATTCATTTCTCTTGTCATGTGTTTATAACAAATGAAAACAAACACTAAGCCTCCAAACACTCTGAAGGGCGTTTGCAATGGTTGTCCTTCCCATCCGCCTCCCTTGACCTTGTTTTTTTTTTCTGTGTGCGCGCGTGCGTGACTGTAAACTTTCCATTTGCTCAAGTGAATGTGACTTTCTCTGTCATTCAAAGTCAACGTCACTCACTCGTCTCCCACGTTGGTTGCGTGCCTTTTCTCTCACTATGAAATAAACAAATGCAAAAAAACCCAAACAAACAATCGTGCTTCGAGTCCTTATACGCGATGTTTCGCACTGAATTAATATTGTCATTTTCATTTTGGCGGAAAAGCTGTCATGAAATGTCCACTTTTTTATTTTAAATGTGTTTTCAAACATTCATATTCACATCTTGACCCTTGTGAGGATAAAGCGGATAAGAAATGGATGGGTGGAAGTGGGTGTATGTCTCGAGATCCACGCGGACTTTGGTGACGATATTCCCAGTTGCAAAATATGTTTGGGGCTGGGAGGGTGGAACCATACTTGGTTGCTTGTTGCCGTTCGGACAAATTACTGGTTGGACCTGTCGCTCCGTTCAACAAATAGCTCCGTCTCAAGATGGCGGAGTACCTCAGTGTAGTCCGAAGGGCTTTGGGACAACTCGGAGGTCACGGCGGTGTCCGGGGGTTTCTTCTTCAACTCTTTAGGTGAGTGAGGGTGATGGTCTGGACGCTTTCATTTTGAACGACTGACAACCAAAATACTGTCCGAAACGCCCACTGTGGTTGCGCGATCGGAGCCGAACCAAGTTAGCATGGTAACCAGCGACCCAGCAAGCTGGCTTTTCAACAGAAGTCCATTGACTTGAAACTTGCGCTGGTTTTCTCTTTTGTTCCACTCCTCCTCCCCTCCGATATATATATACATATATTGTGGAATTCATAAAAAACTTTGCCCTGCGATTGGCTGGCAACCAATTCAGGGTGTCCCCCGCCTACTGCCCGGAGACGGCTGGGATAGGCTCCAGCTCCCCCCGCGACCCTAGTGAGGATCAAGCGGTTCGGAAAATGAATGAATGAATGAATAAAAAACTTTGAACGTTCGTATGTGACAGGGTCAACGATGTGAAGACTGGAGCACTCATCGGCGTGGACAAATATGGCAACAAATATTACGAGGATAAGAAGCATTACTTCTTCGGTAAGAACGCGAGCATTTTGGATGGAAAGAGACGTTGTGCTGCGAATCGTTTGGGTGTCATTGGAGCCACGGGTTTGCAAACTGGGGCTGCCGGATCCGTCAAGTTTGACCACCCCTGCCTTCGTTAAATCTCTCCAGGACGCCATCGCTGGGTGATCTACACCAAGGAGATGAATGGGAAGAACACTTTGTGGGAGGTGGATGGCAGCATGGTGCCCGCCGAATGGTACGGTTACTTTAGAAAAGGCGAAAATCAATCTACAGTGTTGTACTTTTGTAAAACCAACAATAACAAACATAATTGGTCAGAATGTCAAGGATGAGCCCGCTTCAGCCTCATGATTGAGATTTTTGTTCTTTGTTTCCCCCCCCCCCCAGGCATCGCTGGCTCCACTGCATGACAGACGACCCCCCCACCACGCACCCGCCCGAGCCCAAGAAGTTCCTTGCTGAGGTGCATCAGTTCAACGTGAGCGGCACTTCGCAGCAGTATGTGCCCTACTCCACCACGCGCAAGAAGGTCCATGAGTGGGTGCCACCCAAAGCCCAGTGACCCCCGAGCCCCCGCTCATGCTCTCTGTACACAGTTGCACCTCAATAAAAACCTGTTCAATGTTTGCAATTAGCGCGCTTTTCCATGACAGTGTTGTTGAATGACGACAAAACAGGTAAGCTTGCATTTTCACTGTCACGTGATGACAATGGATCCGCCAAATTCCATACAACACGACACAAATGCAAGGCAACATAAGGCACATGACCACGAAACGGAATTAGCCCACACGGCACAGTGGAAACGGTATGAGGTTGCATGGCAATCAAAATGCCCCCACCTCAGCAGAGGACACGCGATGCTCTGCGTCTTCTTCCAACCGCGAGACCACCGATGACCAGGCTGACCCCCTCCCTTGAATAGAATGTTTCAAGTGGAGGAGACAGGACAGGTTTCGTGATTATGGTGGGACAAGTGGGGAACTCATTGTCATCTGGATGGCGGTGGGCGACACCAAGCAGCTCGACCAAAGCCACACTGAAGAAGACGAATGGATGAGCTGAGTGGTGGTGCGTCCTCTTGGAGTCGAGGGAGAAAGTTGAAGGTGGTGAAACTGAAAAATAAAGTCCAGACAAGAGTTTGTGAAAGGAAATCACTGCGGACCTTCGTCGAGACTTGCCACCGAGGCATGGGACGAACTTTTGCCGCGTCTTAACTCGTAGCTCACGTGAAATGACCACGTAAAACAAGGCGGTTTCAGCTGAAAAAAACGACCATGTATTGTAAGGCGTTTTTAGACGAAAAAAAAACAAGCATGTATAGAAAGGTGTTTTTAGCGCGAAAAATAATGACCATGTATTTTACATGTATGTACTTTTTAGCCCCAAAAAACGAGCATAGGAAGGGCTTTTTTGGCCCCAAACAACAACCATGTAAAGTCAGGTGTTTTTAGCCCCCCAAAAAAGACCATGTATAGGAAGGCGTTTTTAGCCGAAAAAAAACGAGCACGGAGAGAAAAGCGTTTTTAGCCCAATCCAGGTCTCGACTTCCTCTGCGAAGTTTGCGTGCAAAGCCTTTTTGAACGACCGTGTATGTAAAGGCCGGGCAGCGGGAGGAAATCTTGGCGTGGTCAAGGGATGATGGGTGAGGTTGGAGTGCCGTCACGTCGCCCAAAGGCGAAGCTCGTCCCAGAAGTGACCACTCCACGAGACGCCAACCGTCTCACCAATTATGTTCTTTTTTTGCCTTCAAAAAAACCGACTCGTGTGGTCGGCCGCCTTTGACTACAGAAAAAAAATTCGAAACTTTCGTGCCGGGATGGCGTGGTGGGTAAAGACATCGCTGGGTATGCAGGCGGAACGAGTTCGAATCTCCATCTGCTCTGCATTTATATATTTTGCAAGAGTCGAACCCGGGTTTCCCGTTACCTCGTCCAGGGGCAAAGTAAGAAGTTTGAACCAGAAGCGAACACTCCACGAGAGATGCCGAGCGTCGAACCAGTTCATCATGAAGCTGACGCCCTATGACTACATATAAAAATTTCGAAATTTTTGTGCTCAGATGGCCGAATGGTAAAAGACATCGCGTGGTGGTCGGGCGAACCGAGTTCGAGACCCACCGTGTGCTGCATTTATAAATTAAGCAAGAATCGAACCCGGTTTTCCCGGGTACCAAGTATTGTCGTTAACCATTCGACCACGACAGGTCACAGAAAATAACCTTTTTGTTTGGTTATATTTAGACGAAGGGACTACATGATCTCAATAGTTACATAAAATAGTCGTTGTCATCACTGTGCAAAGACAGTCCAGTGGTATGTGACAAGGATTCCCCACTGGTGAACTCTGGTTCGAGTCCCGCTGCTGTCATTTGGCAAAGCCGTCGTCATTTCGCCCGGATTTTTTCCACACGTCTTCACATTCACTTCCGGTTTCAAATTAAAACTTTTTTCATTCCGGAAGTGACGTCACTGGCGGAACCTATTTAAGGCGGGCTCTCGAGGCACTCATTCTTTCTCACCTTCGACAGCCTCCGGTCGTCCTCCCGCTGCTGCTGCTCTGCACGCCTGTCCAGAAGCCCACGGAAAACTCCAACAAGGTGACTTTTTTTACTCTTTAATAGCCTCTTTAAACACACCGCTTTGGCTCCCTTTGAATGGAAAGCGGCACTTTCGACGTGCTCGCACCTGGCTAACACGCTAAGCCAAAATGTTTGCTCGAGCGTGAGCAATCAACGTCTCCTGCGACCTTGCTTTGCAACAAAACCTTTTTTTTTTCCAACCTTCTAGGACAAAAGCTACGTTTTGCGAGAGGGTAAGTGGACAAAACTAATTTCTAAATTCACAAACTGAACAAATGTGCATGCATGCGTGTTAATTGTGTCCTTTCTGTTCACAGGTACAAATCTTAAGATGGACGAAACACAGGCCACTCGCTGTGCGTTTTAATGTGGAATTTAAGCCCTGAACCGTTTGGAGCAAGCCCATCTAATTTGTCTTTTTTTTTCTATCCGCAGGCTTTACATCTGCTACAAAATGGCCAAATTGACTGCAACGAGGTACAACGACAACATTTTAAGATGCCGCCGTACGACAGACCAAATCCCTCATGTGTCGATTGTCATTTCTGTCTCCACAGGCTGACGTCGACGGAACGACCCATAAAATGGCTGCCATCCTGTGGAGTTTTGGGCCCCGGCTTCACAAGGCTTTGGCATGCCGACCAAATATCGGGGTGCTGACCAACGCGCTTGGAGGTTGAATATTTAAAAGTCAAGAGCTGACGTTACCGTGTCTTTCAGGTCGCCGTGCTGTCGAAGAGGCGTCCACCTCTGCTCTCTTCACAAGTGAAGCAAACACTTTTATACACGTGTGACGACTCGGAGTTAAATCGGCACATGATTTACTAAAGATTGAACACAGGCGTCAAAACCAGAAATGTAAAAAAAGTTTGGCTTCAGCCACAGGAGTTTCTCCTCAACCAATTACCGGGAAGCTCGTTGACCTGCTGGTTGAGTAGGTGCACCTGTGGCTCAAATCAAACCGTGGCGGGGCTCTTAATTCTGGCCCTCACACTTATCCAATGAGGGTGCTCGAGGACCCGATAGACGTTGTGAAGCCGAGTCGTCCCTCCTCAACGTTTGGACCTGTTGCTTGTCGGCAGGCCCTCAGGAAACGTGGCGTCACGATCCACCTGATGTCGCACACGCAGACTGGTGACTGAAGCTGCACCCAAAGAGCACTGCATCGTTTTAGCACACTCACCTGCTTTTTCTTTGACTCTGCATACAGTGCAGCTTCCAGTGACCCTCCACCTGCTGGGCAAAGAGACAAATGCGACAAGTTTGCAGAAGGTCTTCACTCTGATGGGGCTCTCGTTTGTGGTTTTGTCAGGTTTGACCACCTTGGATGAGTCACTGGACCAGGAGCAGCTTGGCCTGTTGGTGTTGATCACGCTCGACCAACTGTCGCGGCAAAAGGTTCCAGTGAACACTTGGGAAGCAAGTTGAAAAATGAGGAGCAGAGTAAAACGAAACTGCGTTTCTGGTTTGTAATTGGTGTCGACCAACCTGTACTTTGTCTTTCAGATGGCGCTGTTGCAGTGCGATGAGGTGAAACGTGACTCGGCGCCATCGGCTGGTAAACAGTCTGATTTCAACAAGCCTCTTTTCATTATTCAGAGTTGAAGATTGTTCTTGGGTCCTCCATGCCACAAGAGGGAGTAACCTGCTCACCGCCAGAGTCCACCCACGAGCACAGACCTGCAGGCAACACTTCTTCCTGTTATTCACAAGGTGCTGAAGTCAAACTTTGGGCCAGCCTGAAAAATCGGAGACATTTACACTCGTTCAATGCACCATCATGACTTTTTTTTTACTTTTTTTTTCTCCCCCAGGCAGGAGTAAACATGATCGGCTTCCTGCTCTCGAAAAACCCAACAGTCTATCTCCCTGGTAAGTTTCATGCCCAACACATCTTTGTCTGCACAAGAAATTGACTTACGTGTAACTCACGGATGCCTTTCCTCTCAGGTCAACACACCTGTCCCACGTTCCTCTCAAGAGCCGACCACT